TCTTTGGGAGTATAAAGCATCAATTATTTTAATTTCAGTTCCCCATGGAAACTTTATAGTGGCTCTTCCGGATCCCTCAATGATATTTGTACTACCCGATATGGTACTTACATTAATCCTTTTCATCATCAAATGAGAGAAATATTTTTTATTTTTAAGTATTGTATGTGTAGTTACACTGTTAGCAAGACATAATTCTTCACCATTCATAGCAAATTGAACTTGAGTAATATCCATGTTCTTCATGAAATAAAATACATGTCAATATATTAAGCATAAAAATAAAGATGATAAAACAAATAAATCAATAAAAACACTCAAATAGTTCAAAAATTTATAAAGCAAAAATCCTTATTACAACGAAAGAAATAAACTTAAATAAATTACTAGAATAAGACCAATGACCTTTTCCTCCACAACGGTAACATATATTGTTATCACTTTTCTCTTTTTCATCCCTACGTTCCCACTTCTGGTGGGAATGTGAGTTTGTGAAATGACCTCCACGACCTCTACCATATCCACGTCCACGACCCCGGTCGCGCCATTGGCCACGACCATGACCTCTACCTCGACCACTACTGCTGGAATGGTCCCTGTTTTTAGTTTCTTTCCCGTTATGGGTTGTCACATTCGCTTCAGGGAATGGAGTAGAGCCAGTAGGACGTGATTCATGATTTTTCATTAACAGCTCGTAATTTTGCTCAGCCACAAGAAGACAGGATATTAATTCATAATATTTTTAAAACCTTTTTCTCTATATTGTGTCTGCAGGACAATATTATTAGCATGGAAAGTGGAGTATGTCTTTTCAAGCATTTCTGCATCAGTAATATTTTCTCCACATAATTTCAATTGAGAAGTTATTTTAAACATAGCTGAGTTATATTCACTAACAGATTTAAAATCTTGCAATCTCAAATTTAACCATTCATAACGAGCTCTAGGGAGTATCACTGTTTTTTGGTGGTTATACCTTTCCTTTAGATTACTCCAAAGGATTTGTGGGTCTTTCATAGTTAAATATTCATTTTTGAGCCCTTCATGGAGGTGATGGCGAAGAAAAATCATGGCTTTAGCCTTATCTTGAGGTGTTGCCTTATTAGCCTCTTTTATTGTTTCACCAAGCCCTTTAGCATCTAGGTGTATTTCAGCATCTAACACCCATGATAAATAATTCTTTCCGGTAATATCAAGGGCCACAAATTCGAGCTTGGCAAGGTTCGACATTTTTCACTATACAAAATAATATTAAAAGATAAGTATATATAAATAGTATTCAAAAATATGTATTAAACATTATAATCATGCATAAATAAACCTGATACAAATCATGCATAAATAAGAACGAAATAGAAAATGAAAACGTTAGCATGGAGAAAAATAAGAATGGAACCTTAAATTATATATCATGCTCTGTATTCGTTATATATGTTGATATTCCAATAAATAAGCATGCAAAAGTAGATAAATGTTGAATTATAATTGTTATGGGCTGCGATCATACTTACATGATAATAATAATAATAATATGAGATTCTAGATAAATGTTTGGTAATCTTACTCATTTGACTAGCAATGGTGCTGATAACGTGTTAAATATGGAATAGAAAATAAAGAGAGATGAGGGAAGATTGTTACGTTGTATTTCATATTCCATCTAGTACGGGATATATATAATGTACATTTCCTAGGGTTCCATCAATGGATAAGACCAAATACCCAATTCTAGAATATTCTAGATTGTACATGGGATAATAGTCATCCATATTTAGATATTATCATAACATTATCTAATTAATCCTATTTTTTTACAAGAATTATATAATTACTCCTTATTACTAAAGTCATAGAATATTGTTGTCTCATTTTACTTTAAAATTTATCAATGTTTTAGGGTGGTTTATTTGTTATGAGTTTTTTTTGACGAATATTTGTTATGAGTTGTTAGAACAAAGTTTGATTAAATGTTTTTAATTATATATATAGGGTCGGGATCCGGTGAGAACCACCCTTTATGTGAGAACACTCCTAATATATGAGAACAAATCTAAGCCTTAGGATCAAACAATATCAACGGCTCTAATAAATCCAAACTTTTCATCCATATACTTCCTGCTACTCAGAAAAACAGAGTGAAGAAACTACGAGCTTCAATTTCAATGAGATTCAAGGATTTCGAACACAATTTCGTTTGATTTTTGTCAGAATTCAGCAGCAACAAGAATAAACAAGCTTCATAGATTATACAGGTAAATAATTAACAAAAGTTATGTTAATTTTTTTCGAACATAATTTTCTTAAATTTTTGTCAGTATTTTCGAATTTACGTGGTGTCGTTGTTTATCATTATCTTGTTTGTGTTGACAGAATCCTTTTACTTAGTTGATTAATTTTTGTTATGAATTTTGTAATTGTGTTGCAATTAAAACTTGGTTTAAAATGGTTTATTGGTGCATTTTTATGATACTTATGAATATCCTGATAGTGCATACAAGGTGTTTGATAAAATGCTTGTTAGAAATCTTGTGACTTGGTACTCTATTTCAATTAGTTTGTTTTGAATGAGTTCGTAGGTAATACTTTCGATACTTTTGATGCGGAAAATGATGAACTGCCCTTTGTTATAAATCCTTTCACCCTTTATTTTGTAATTATTTGATAAATTCAATAGAAGATATGTAAAATGAGCAAACATAATTAAAATGAGCAAACTAAATATGAAAAGTAATATAGTGAAAATAAAATGAGCGAACAAAAATAAAATGAGCAAATTGGTCAAAATGGATGAAAATGAATTTAGGAATAAATATGGTTCTTCTTTTGGGTCTGTGAAAAGAAGGCTTGTGAAAAATGATTGCTCGCCATTGTATGATCGAGGATATGTTGTTGGTTGGCATCTGATGGGGGAAATATCGAAGATAGGTAAGAATTTAGTGAGGCCTTTATGTCCGAAGTAGGATGTTATGACAAATACTTTACTTATTCCAGTGCTTTTTGTGAGTAGAAAAGTGAGTAAATAAAATTGATCATTCGATGTAAATTTGGTTCTATAGATATGCTTTATGCTTGATGTTGCTGCATTGTACTGTGATATTTTGACAAGTAATATATCATATATAGGTTGTTTGTCTCCTTTTAACAAGTAATTGCATTTAGAGCAGCCTCACCTTCCAATTTACTTAACATCTACCTTGTGCTTTCTAATATTGATGCTGATTTATCTGTTTGCTACTCTAATAACTGTCTGATGTTATGGTTGAGATTACAACTGCTACAATGTTATTTTATGGGGACTGCATTACTGTTAAACAAATATTCGGTGTTTGAAAATATATAGTCTCAAACATAAACTTTTACGTTTGTTAAATACTTCATAGTTTTCTTCTTCAATCTGTTGCATCTAGTGTGTGTGTGTCAGATGACTGAGACCTTGATATTTATTTTCTCTGTGCGGCATCAAATAAGCAAATAATTAGTTACTTATTTGTAAAATAAGCAAACATTTCTTTGATCATTTGGGAAATGAGCAATCAATTTTTTTTATTCATTTAGCAAATGAGCAAATAGTTGGTTGCTCATTTGTCAAATGAGCAATAACTAGTTGCTCATTTGTTAAATGAGCAAATACTTAATTGCTAATTTAACAAATGAGCAAAAACTTAGTTGCTCATTGGTCAAATGAACAAACATTTCTTTAATCATTCATTAAAGAAATTAATAGAAAACTCAGTTTAAAAAGATATGTGAATTCTGCCTCACATTTGTGATTTTAGTCTTTTATCTCAGTACTCTCCTTGTCTGTGATGTGGAATTTGTTCGTGATCGTAGACAAAATCTTCTATCATCCTAATGACATTGCAAGCCTGCAGTTTCTTGTAAAACCATTGGGAAAAGGCTATTTTTAATTAGTATCACTCACACAAGCTACATCGTTCAACATTGTTGTTTCTAATTTTAAAGTTACTTAGTTAGTGCCTTTGTGATCTGCCATAGCCTCACAGTTTAGTGCACTATCCATGACTGGAAGTTGTCACCTTGCGGAGTACCGAAAGTTGTACGAACACCCCCCCCCCAACACCCCCCCCCCCACCCTTCTTTCCTTCTCCTTTATATATTATGGCCATAATGATAAAATTCTCTCCATCACCCTGTACATTACAGCCACAGAGTTCGTGAGAGCAATTTTTTTTTTTTTGGGTATGGTTAACATTTAGACTTCAAATGTCTTGACCCATTATCGTGTCAACAATGTGAAATATAACCTTCTAGTCTTTGTGGTTGGGTTGGTGGTGGTGGTGGGGGGGGGGGGGAGTGGGATCAGGACTTGGTGCAATTGTTGTGGTTGAGTTGATGGTGCCACTGAACACTCAATCATATTGACTTTACTCTGCCAACAATTTCTATAGGTAAAAACTAAAGCTGCTTCAGGGAACAGTGTATTTTAACTTTGATCATTCTCCCAGGAAAAAGCTAAAAATCAATACATGACCTCTTGGGTCATAATACTCGAGGGCTATGGCTGCACCATGACATTGCCTCATTGGTGCATCATTATTTTTTATCTAATGGGATGATAGAGAAGTAGAGGAGGTGGGGGAGTGGGAAGGATGAAAGATTTTATAGGATGGGAAAATTTGATGTACCGAATGCTTTATGCTGAACTTGGATGAGATTATGATTTATTACTATGAAGTGATATTTGACTCCTTCTTTGGTTGCAGGTTGGGATTAGGTCTATCCAAAGTGAAATGTCAAACATTAATATCAGGGGGAGTGCGAGGTACCCTTTCTTGGATGGCACCTGAGCTTCTGAGTGGCAGCAACAGTCTAGTCTCGTCTCTGAGAAGGTTGTCATTTTTCTAAATCCAAGGTTATGGTTTCTATAACATAATTTCTGACAGCAACAAACTAGTGCTGACTTTTTTAATCTATCATATTGCTAGGTTGATGTGTTCTCTTTTGGTATTGTTTTGTGGGAGCTTCTCACTGGAGAAGAGTCATATGCTGACTTGCACTATGGGGCTATTAGTGGTAATTCCTTAAAATCTTTTCTCTGAGCTATGTCACAATGATTTTTTTTGGGGGGTGCTTGGTGGATGTGCAAAGAGTAACTCTTTCCGTTAGAATGACAATAACTTCAACCTTAAGCAGCTAAGCACTTGCAATTGAGAAACATTGCAAAAAATAGTATTAACTGAAGTTTGGTATGGTACCAAAATTGCTATTACTGTAATACTTATTTGGTTTCGGTAGATGACCGTAGAAACTAATGACGTCCAAGCCTCATTTGGTTGGGTGCCCGGTTTGCAATTTTAAAGTTTGCTAGAGAAAATAAAATTTTCCTAAGCCATAGATTCTTTTCCGTTGTGAAATGTTATGTCTAGAATGGGTTTTGGGTTTTGAGGATAATGTAGGTATATTGACTCCATTTTGTTTTGCAACATGTAAATAGGAGGAATTGTGAGCAACACTTTGTGACCACCTGTTCCTGTGAATTGTGACCCAGAGTGGAGAGATGCTGGGCTGCAGACCCACTACAGAGGCCGAACTTCACAGAAATCGCCAACGAGTTGCGCGTTATGGCTGCCAAAATTTCAGCTAAGGGGCAAACACCAGTTACAACTACAAGAACAAACACCTAGTTGGTTTTAATTTTCTTGGCTCTCATTCAATTAATGTCTAGTTGGAGTATGTATATGGCCTATGCTAATTTGGCATCATAGTCTTATGGATATCATATGGATAGTTGCTCATTTGTCAAATGAGCAAACAATTCTTTGTTCATTTTATCAAATGAGTAAATAATTCTTTGTTCATTTATCAAATGAGCTGATTTAAAATTTATAACATAGAAAATGATTTAAAACATATGATAAACCTATTAGCTCAAATGGTAGAGCACTATGCAAATGCATAGCAGATGTAGGTGCAATTCCTACATAGGTTATCTCTATAAACAAAATTAATTAAAAAAAAAATCAAGTTCGTACTAAATTGTATGAGCAGAAAAATAGTTTGAAATGATTTATAACTATATAAATTTTATTACAATTAATCTCTCGTACAAACTTGTGTCTCCACATTACATAAATGAACCTACGTGGGATTCGAACCCACATCTTTTGTGCATTTGCACAATGCTCTACCCTTGAGCTCGTAGGCTAATATATTTAAAACATTCAAACACACTCACAAATGAGCATTAATTTGACAAAATGAGCAAGAACCATTTTCTCATTTGACAAATAAGCATTAAATAGTTTGCTCATTTGACAAAGGAGCATTGAATTTTTTTGCTCATTTGACAAATGAGCAAAAATTAATTGCTCATTTGACAAATGAGCAAAGAATTTTTTTGCAAATCTATAACCTGTAATTTTTTGTAAAATGAGCAACCATTAATTTGCTCATTTGTCAAATAATAAATAATTAATTACTCATTTGTAAAATAAGCAAACATTTCTTTGATCATTTCATTCGGGAAATGGGCAATCAATTTTTTTGCTCATTTAGCAAATGAGCAAATACTTAGTTGCTCATTTGTCAAATGAGCAAATACTTAATTGCTAATTTAACAAATGAGCAAAAACTTAGTTGCTCATTTGTCAAATGAGCAAATAGTTAGTTGCTCATTTGTCAAATGAGCAAACATTTCTTTAATCAACAAGCATTTCTTTGCCCACTTGTGAAATGAGCAACCATTTGTCTGCTCATTTGTCAAATAAGCAAATAATTAGTTACTAGTTTGTAAAATAAGCAAATATTTATTTGATCATTTAATTTGGAAAATGGACAATCAATTTTTTGCTCATTTAGCAAATGAGCAAATAGTTAGTTACTCATTTGTCAAATGAGGAAATACTCAATTGCTAATTTAACAAATGAGCAAAAACTTAGTTGCTCATTTGTTAAATGAGCAAATAGTTAGTTGCTCATTTGTCAAATGAGAAAACAATTCTTTAATCATTCATTAAATCAACAAGCATTTCTATTCAAACCATCAATCATCACATAACTAAATTGGAAATCCTTGAACCTTAGGCAGGTTTAGCTTACCTAATGAGCAGCCACTACATGTGAACCCATAGACATAGAAAAATATATAAGTAGGCAGGTTTAGCTTAATACAACAAATGACAATTGCATGTTTTTGTAGGCCAGGTGCTAAAAGCAACTGATTATATTGATAATATAAGGTAAATAATATGCAGTGTGTTTTACCTGGCACTCTGAGCAACAAGTATGGCAGGCCATGCTAAGGCACGAATCTATCCACCCATGCAAAAAAGAAAATATATGCTAAGGTATTGATGTCCAACCCCTAATTTCTAGTCTAGGCATGAAAATGTAGGAATGGAAGACTCTAAATTCTGCAATATCTTGCACAAGACTGTGATTTCTGTAATATTTTGACAAGCCTGCAATTGCTTCTATTGCGTCATCAGAAACAATATCACAACAGAAATGATAAATTTTGAAGTTGTAGTAGCCTGTCACAAGTTCTAAACCCTGTACAAAATCTGAAAATATAAGTAGGTGACATCCTTTCTTCATATAATACTCAGATTTTAGGCACTTCAATCACATTGAGAGTACCACTTCCTATTCTAAGTCCAAAAAGATAAGCTGTAAAGCCTGTTATAAATAAAGGATATAGCGAATCTATTTAATTTTGACATAAACTCAGAAATCATCACCAGACATGCAGATAATAATTAACAAAAGCTAACAAACTCCCACAAAACTCATTACAAAAACTGAACCCAGTCTCAGATATTTTTGTAATTGCAAAACTTATTTACTTTAGATTATAAATCAAAACAGCCCAAATCAAAAGCATGCAAAACCAATAATATTTCAATCCTTCATAGTGATAAATCTGAAAAGAGATTATTATGAGCAATACAAAATTTCTCCAGCAGAAAAACATTATTATAAACTAATATTTCAAGTCCTGGTAACTCTATCCTACCAAGATATAACGAATGAAATAAGGTCCAAATCCAAGCTGAACATTCAATATTATGGTAATTCCACCCTTCAAGAATAAAAAAAACCGGTTACGAGTATGCTAAGTTTGGTATCAGATGCTTAAATCTACGGTAGTTTTTCAGATTGATGGAGCAAACAACTTGATTGAAGGATTCAAGTAAAATATATGCATTGGATTCATTTAGAGCAGCTAAGTTTGCATAATTTACCTAACTAGCTTAGAGCATAGAAGTTTAACAACATCTGAATTTAGCTTGGTCAAAATAAGATTACTCTAGGAATTACTATCCCACTTTAGATATATCTGAAAAAGGATAAAACAGTCATTATATTCAATTGAGACAAAGATTAGTTAAATATAGATGGATACAATCCATTGAAAATTTTCCTTAGCCACTTAAAAATTGCAACACAAGACCACCTGAGTACCTACTTCATTTTAAGAACTTAATTAATTTCACAAATACCAATACCCCTCTTGTTTCATGTCCAAAACATGGAGTATCAAACCACAAAAAAAAAAAAAGCAAGATTTGACGGAAGCATATCAGCAAACAATCTCTAAAATCAATCATCGAATTCAACCTCAGAAACATCCATACAGTTTCCTTTCCCCTAAAGCGTTATCAATTCTCCAAGTAGCATATTTCCTTTCACACTCAGTTATGCCTCAAATTATAAATCAAATACATACGCAAAGCTAAATAAGAAAATAAACACAGTTGATGAACACTGATCTAATCGTCAAAATAACTACAAATGAGCAAAAAAAAAATACAAAATCCCTATTAAAAAAAATCAGTTAATTGATACTTACCTTTTTCGTTCATAGGTAACAATTGTAGAGTTTGATGTATCATTCGGTTTTCAATTCTTGTACAACGTTATTGGTCATAGGATCTAAGCCGAGACTCAATACAAACTTGGGGAATATGAAATAAGAAGATCATCAATTAAATATGTACTACATTTGAAATTGATAAAATAATAGGATTCATTGGGGAATATTGTCAAACACTTAGTGTGCATCAAAATTTAAGCACAAATTAGTGAAATGCAAGTACCAAAATTGACAAAATCAATCTCTATAACCATTCATAACCTCAGAAATTATAAATAAAAGTTCGAATTACACTGTAAGAACCCTAAATAAACAAATGAAGCAAAATTAAAACTAAAATCAACTAATAAGCTCGAAAATCCCCAAAAATCACACGAAAATCGCCAAAAATCGCAAAAAAATTGACAAAAACCTTAAGTAATCAAAATAAAATCAACGAAAATCAAACTTTTATCAACGAAAATCAAACTAAAATCAACGATAATTACCTTGACAAATAATCAATGAAATTAGAAGCAGAATTGCTGAAGAATCAAAGCAAAGGAAGATAGCAGTAAGAAGGGAGCAGAGAAATTGAAGGAGGAGAGAGAAAAATGGCGCCTCAAATGAAGGAGGAAAGAGAAAATGCTGGAAAATTGTATTTGAAATTACATTTGATTGGGATAAATTGTATCCATTGGATGCAATTAATCCAACGGTTGTAATATGTCCTCACATATAATAGGGTTCTCACATAAGGGGGGTGGTCTCATATGATCCTATTTCTATATATATATATAGTTTTCCCGCATATACTTTTGCATGCCTAAACCAATTTAGAAGATTTATCTCCTAAACAAGACAGTAGATTTTATAGTGTAATATTTTAATAATAATTTTGACATTTGCTACCATTAAAAACACCATGCTTCACATTTACTATCGGTTTTATTTATTTATTTATTTATTTTTTACTTTACTACCACCCAAATCACACTTTAAAATTAGCTACTTTATATGCTTCAAAACTATATTTTGGAAAACCCTACTGTATAAAACTATGTTTAATCCAAAAAAACAAAAATAACATTTAAAGTGTCGTCTTTGTTTTTTTGGATTAAACATAGTTTTGAAGTAAACTTTTCACGGTTTTTCCCCAGATTTTCCTAACAAACCCAGATTATCGAAAAAATGAAAATTAAAGATTTTCAATTACATATGATCAACGATTTCGCATCCTTTGATTGAGATTGTCTAATTAAAATGTATTATTATGGGATTAAACAAACAATTCAGATTCGAACAAATCTTGATGTACGAAAACAAAAAAAATAAAAAAAAAATTAAAAAAAAATTGGAGATGGTGAGTGATTGAGACATATGTTCATTCTCCACTGATTAGTGAGTGAATTTAAGGTACAAAGATCATGAATTGGTAGTTAATTTCATCCATGGATGAAGAATATTGAAAAACACTGAAGAAAGTTGAAGAACATTGAAGAACAATATTATATTATTATGATTTTAATTTTCTTAATTTAATTTTTTTCTACTTTATTAAAAAAATAATTTTAATATGATGATAATTAACATGTTTTATTCATTAAAAGTAAAATAAGTTGTGAAAGAGATTTGGAAAAAAAAGGTATTTACTTTTAATGCCCTTACTTTTTAAGTAAAATAGTACTTAAATAATATTTTGCTTTACTTTTAGGAAAATTTTTAAATTACCATAATCCAAAAATGTATCTATATTCAAAATAACCACCCGTTTAATTTTTTTATTTTATTTTACCACCCCTTAAATTAAAAAACTACTCAAATAACCACCCATTTCAAAATTTTGGTGGTTTTCTGTTATGCGAACCCACCCAAACAATGGTAAAATATTAGAAATTTTGTTTTGAATTAAATATATAATAATTCACCAATAATTAAGAGTTAGCTCAAGTGGTAAGCAACTTGATGTCGCTTAAGGGAGGGTTTTTTTTTTTAAAAAAATTTCTCCTTGATGAATGGTAAAAAAAAAACCTACCGTCATCAATCAATCAATCAATCAATAACTATATACTAAAAGACACACTAGCAATGACACGTGTCGTCTTCTGGCGTGTCCTTAGTTTTTTTTTTGGAAAAAAATCAATTTAAAAAACAAATCTTTAACATATTTATTAAGGTACTAATTGCGTAAAAAGTATAATAGAAGATTTATCCATAAAACAACATATTGACAACTACGAACTTAAGAAAATAATATTCTTAGCACATAATTTATGACACATGGAGTACTTATTTTAGGAAACACATTTTATGTACTACATATGTTAATTACAACAAGAGTTATTCTTAATTGTGTAATAAAAGCTACAAACTTAGACAATGAAATACAAATATCAAAACAAACAAATAATGATTTTGTTATTTCTTTGAATAATTTATGAATATAATATCAATCAAGTAATACTTTATGGATATTTCAATAATACTTGCTAAGAAAGATACATGTTGATCATTCATAATGTTATTTTCTACTAGTAGAAAAATACCAAAAGGCACCGCTCAATGGCCACCGATTTTCGAAAACCGGTGGGGTAAAAAATGGGCGGGATTAGGCATATTTATATTGCCACCGGTTCAAACCGAACCGGTGGCATAAATGTTAAAGGCCACCGGTTTTGAACCGGTGGAAATTCTTTTTATAAAAAACCCGGTCATATTTTCTTTTTCATATATAAACCCCTTTTATTTCCCAAACCCTAGCCTCTTCTTTTCTTCTGATCTCGTCCCCTCCCTCATCTTCTCTCTCTTCTCTCATTCTCTGATCTCTTCTCTTGTCCCCTCCCTCCCTCTTCTCTTTCCTCTCTTTAGATCTCTTCTCTCGTACCGCCGTTCATTCCACCCCGCCGCCGTTCTTTCCTCTATCATTCTTCTCCACCTTACCGTCGTTCATTCCACATCGTCGCCGCCGTTCTTTCTTTTCTCTCTTTTGCGACGAGGTGAGGGGTCTATTTCTTCACCGGCGCCGCATCTTTGCAGTGGTGGTGGATCTCTCTTCACGAAGGTATGTGCTCTTTGCCTCTTCGATTTGAAATATAGGGTTTCTGATTTTTATTTAACTTTTTTTTTTGTGATTTTTATGTTGCGATGAGGTCGATGAACATGGTGAACATGTTGTTCTCGAGTCCGCCAAGGTTATGATGGTTACGGTGGTCGCGATCCATCTCTCTATCTCTTCTCGAGTCCTCTGCTTTAGATCTTGGTTATTGGTATGTATTTACTTTCCTTTTTTTTATTGTTCATTAGATTTATTTTTTAATTGCTAGGGTTTTTGTTGTCTGTAAATGCTTGTTTAATTTTCTTAGTGATGGATATTTGGTTGCATGAATGTAAGGGTTTGCGTGATTGTATTGTGTATAATGTTGGAGGTGATTACTGCACAAAATTTGGCTGCCCAGATTGATGTTTGTTTGATGGCTACTGTTTATACTAATAAAAAGAACATTAATCGGTGTAAAATTAGGGTATTATTTGATTGTGGTTGTTTTGGATGTAATAATGATGATGATTTTGCTACTTGATACTCTGATCAAGTTGAAAAAAAGAATGTGAGGTAAGGATTGTTTTTACATTTTAAAGATATAGCACTATATGATAAGATCTAGGAAAATTCAAAATGTTTTGGTGTGATTGAACATGAGTTGAGATTAGGGATTTTAAAAAGCTGTAATTAAACTTGACATTTAAATAACAAAAACTGATGCGTGAATGTATATTGAGGGAGTTACCTTTGCTAAGTTTAATTTACGATAGATTGATTTTCAGTGAAATTGGTTTTTATTTGATGAAGCAGAAAAATGTGAAGCTATTTTTAATACTGCTATAGCTTAAATCAGTTCAATTCTGTGCTAGTTGCTGTACCCGAGCTGAAACTCAGGTGTCTTAGAAGCAGGACTCCTGTGATTGTTAATTTCTGATAAAAAAGAAATGCTTGGTGTTGTCTTGTGTTTTCTTTTGAATGTAATATGTTTAATTTACTAATTTTTTTGAGTTGATTTATATTCATCAACTTTTGTGTTTCATTGCAGTGATATGGATTCAACAATGCTGGCTTGCATTGCGTTCTCCTGCCCCAATCTGGAAACCATGGAGATCTCTATGTCAGAGTCATCAATTAACCGTATATCTGGGTATATAAACCCTTTTCCTGTTTGATTTAGTCCATTTTGGTCTAAAAAATTCTTGTATAGGAAACCATGTTAGTTTAACTTTTCAGTTTGTGGCTCTAGTATCACTTGTTTGTGAAATGAGCTCCCCATTTTGCTCTCTATATCTTTGTGATATTGGATGATTGAACATTAGAAGATGAATTTGAATAGTTGACATCTTAATTTAGGAAATTGTGCAAATATGTTTTAAAAGGATAGATGAGTTCAAACTCTTCTAGTAGACAGGAAACTTATGTAATGCAGTGAACTCTTTATGTGGCTCTCTATTTGAAATGACTTTGCAAGGCTGATTATTGTTTGTGGTGGTATGAGCAACTTAACTGGTAGTTGATAGCTTACTCTCAGGCAGACTAGCTGCTAACTCATTGTTTAAATGTTGAGAGGATTTTATGTATTGGAATCCATTTACTTGTTGGTTTGGCTTTAGTACTTTTTTCTTTCACTGGATAATTCTTGCCAAATTTCCGCAGAAATGTATTAAATTGAGCCAAGTTTTACTCCTAGGAATGTCTAACCCTTCTCTGTGGTTTTATTTTCTTGAATTAAAGCTGAACTGAAATTCTGTAATTGATTTCATGTCTATGATTTTCTTGACTTTCTGTATTAACCCTGTTTCTGGTAGGCAGTCATCTAGAGATGTGTAAATTCGATGTATTCAGCGATGATAGGCACCCAACAACCTTGCGTTGTTGGTCCAATAAACTTGTTACTATATATGTAAACTTATGCCTGATACTTTTGTAGTAAACTAATAATTTACCTGTGTTTTAAATAACCTTGCCTGTAATTTAATCATTACAAATTATGTGCTTTAGATCTGCATTAGCCATTAGCTGAGAATTGAACTAATGAATTATCTTTGTTTGGGATATAATCTTTCACTGTGACTGGGAGAGAACCTGAGTAATTAAATTAGCTATTGCTGTAGGAAAATTTCTCAACTCCTAAGGCTAGAGAAATCTTGTTGTTGATGAATTAAGGTTACAAATACCCCTACTGTTTTGATTGATGATGTTGCGGATTTGTCGATTGGGCTTAGCTTGCTGTATTGCTTTGCTTTGGTGTTAATTCTATGATTGTTGGGTTATTAATTCTATGATTGTGTTGAAGTGGGATTAATCTGCTTTGGTGTAATTTGAGTAGAAAGGAACTAATTTCAAAGTGGATTTTGAAATAGGTTTTGATTATATTGTTTGGGGGTGGTAATTTGAGTAGAAAGGGAGCCAATATCACATTGAATTGTTATGCTTGGTGTAATTTGGCTCTCTTGAAATTGAATTAGTATTGCTCTGCTTGTTGTCTTTGATTAATACACACATCGAGATCTCTTATCTTTGTTTGTTGATGCAGGTGGCTGTTGGAAGATGTTATCTATATGCAAGGCTGCTGCTGCCTCGCCAAGGCTCGCTGCTGCAGTTGCTGCCTCGCCACGTGTTACATTGGTGATTTTGTGTGACTTGTATTTAACAGTGACTTGTATTTTTTTTTTGGACCAAAATTGTAATATTACAGCCTTATTTTAATGAAAATATGTAAGTTTATATATATGTTAGTGTTTATATATCAATTTAATTGAAAAAAATGCAATTTTTTTTTTAATTTTTTTTGGCCATTATTGGCACCGGTTTTGAACAGAACCGGTGCCAAAAATCCCTTTAAAAAAAGCGGGAATGGGTTTTTGCCACCGGTTAACCGGTGGCCATAATAAATATTACCATCGGTTAACCGGTGGCAATAATCATTTTTGCCACCGGTTTTGAACCGGTGGCCTTTCTTGAGGTTATTGCCACCCCCCAAATGACCACCGGTTCAAAACCGGTGGCTTAGGGGGGTTTTGAACCGGTGGCTAAGTGGTTTTTTCGCCTAGTTTTGTTGTTGTTCTTTAGCATTCAATTGATTTATACATATAGCATACGTATTCTTTCAAAAACACACACACACACATATATATTGTTAATTTGAAAAGTAGCTATTTTAAATTATCGTGTATGACATGGGACCTAACCTAATTAACAAATCATTAAATATAGATTAGGTTTGTTATTTTATTTTACAATTAAATTATTTTATAAATGATTAAAAAAAATTAAATCCATCCATCCTTTCCCTATCTGCCATCAATCAATCTCCCTTACGACAAACTCCTCCCCCTTTGCCGGAATCTGGCAGCCGACATCCCTAGTCCCTCCCCCGCCAACAGCCCCTTCTGGTCTGCCATGAATCATCATCCTCTTCATCCATCCATGAAACTTCTTCTTCTTGTCCTCTTTAATCATTGAAGACTAAGTCCAAGCTAAGGTTGAAGACAAATTGATCGTATACCACATAAAATCCGTATGAAATTGGTGCTGATGAAGACTATACTCATTGAAGACTAAGTCCAAGCTAAGGATGAAGACAAAACTTTCAACCATTGTACTGTTTCCTTTTACTTAGTAAGTTTTCTTTACTTGATTGATTTAGAATATTAATTATAGGAGATGAACACGAAAAAAGACATATTAAAATTTTGTATGATTAATTTTGATTTATTTATGGGATAAATTTGGGTTTGGTGTGATTAATGTTGACTGATTGTAAATTGGGATTTTATTTTATTAACTTGTATTCATTTTTAGGGGTATATTTGGGGTTTTTGTGTACCCAATATTGATTGATTTAGGGGTAAATTTGCAGTTTTGTTTGTTAAATTATAATTGATGTAGGCAAGAATTCAATTAGGAATTTTTGGGGCTACATGTATGAAAACATGTGGAATTTTGTTTGCGGAAAACAAGTGAAATAATATAGTTTAGGATGTAAAAGAATAATTCTATGATTCTAAAAAGAATAAGAACAAAAGTTGTGTAAACCAACCAATATAATTTCAATGCTCGCATGCATATAAAACTAGTACTCACTCCGTCACCATAATATAGTTTATGTTGTGTGTTTTTCACGATATTTAAGAAATATGAGGACAAATTGGATGAAGTACCTTAATAAAAGTGAAAAGTACAATTATATACAAAAGTTAGAGAAAGAAAATGGAGAAAAGTACAAGGCATATGCAAAAATCAATGGTAATGTAGGAAGTAGAATAAATAGAGTTAAACAAGTGAGAGTATAATAGTCTTTATATATTATCTAAAAATGAAAACAAGAACAATATTTTGACTATCCAAAATAGGAAAACTGAAACTACGTAGTATATTATGAGAAGGAGGAATTACTTATATATTACAAAGCATTACACATTTACACATACATCTAACACTATATTTGGGCTCTTGAGCAAAAAAAAAAAATAATAATAAAATCTAATTTTATATAACTAATATCAAAGCTTTTTTCAAAAAAAAAAAAAAAAAAAGGTGCCAATAAAGCTTTAAATAAAGACTCAAGTTAAACATTGAGGCGATATTTAGGAATAAGTGCCAAGCTGTTTTCCATGGACATGACAAGGCCAAACTTCTCTTGCATGACTAAATTGTTGAAAGAAGTTTTATCAGGCATGTGCCAATCAAAGGAATGCACCAATGTAGACAATATTAGCTTAACATTTAGTAGACCAAGTTGCGCACCAGGACATCTCCTTCGACCAAATCCAAAGGGTGCAAGGCAAAAATCTTGTCCACTAATTATATCAACATCGTTAACCAAAAATCTTTCTGGGTGAAATTCTTCATAATTATTTGACCATATCGTTGGATCTCTACCAATCGCCCATGCATTTAAGAAAATCTGTGAGCCTTTAGGAATATAATACCCATCGAATGTAATTTCTTGCATGGCTTCATGTGGAGCAAAAATGATTGGATATAGACGAAAGATTTCTTTAATAACTACGTCCAAGTATTTGAAATTTGGCACATCTTTCTCCTCCACCATTTTATTTTTTCCTACAACACTTTCTATCTCTTGTTGCAATTTTATCATTTTCTCTGGATGCTTTTGTTGATAAGTATTAGGTGACTCGTACTTCGTTGCTTTGTCCGCCCGATCGGGCGGACATTACCCGGTCTGACCGGGCGGAAGAAGAAGAGGTGCCTGGCAAATTCGTTGAAGAAGCTGCTCTCGCGCCCGACCGGGCGAGCCTTCGCCCGACCGGGCGAGCCTTCGCCCGATCGGGCAGACCTTGCCCGGTCTGACCGGGCGGTGGGGGTTGGATACGTTGAAGCATTCGTATGGAGTTTTCTTCTCGCGCCCGATCGGGCAGACCTTGCCCGGTCTGACCGGGCGGAGAAGGAAAAATACGGAACGCGGATTTTGCGGTTTTAGGTTATCTTATTTTATTATCTTTTTGCCCAAGTATCTTTTAATTAGGGATTAATATAAAACCTCCCTAATATCAGTATTAGGGTGAAGAGAGACAGAGTGAGAGCCGTTCTTGAGAAATACAAGAATCATCTTTGTAATCTTTGCAGTTTATAGTGAAATCATTCGATCTCGGTGCCCGTGGACGTAGCTATCACATCGATAGTGAACCACGTAAATTCTTGGTGTTGTTCTTATTGTTTGCATTGAATTTCTTTATTGTTTTCTTGTTTGTTTTCGACCTTTGCTTCCGCTGTCGCACAACAATTGGTATCAAGAGCTCAGGTTCAATCCTTGGAGAGTTTCTTGAAGATAACAATGGCAGGAGATTCAACAATAAGAATTGAGAAGTTTACCGGGAAAAATAGTTTCGGGCTATGGCAAATTAAGATGAAGGCTCTGTTAAAACAACAGCAGATATGGCGTCCGTTGGCTCCAAAGAGTACTACTTCGGAGTCAGGAGACGGACCGACTGACTCGCAGTTAGAAGTTATGGAAGAGAAGGCACACTCTACCATATTACTTAGTCTTGATGATCAAATCATCACGGAGGTGGCTGATCAGGAAACGGCGGCTGGATTGTGGCTGAAGCTGGAGTCATTGTATATGACTAAGTCGTTGACCAACAAATTATTACTGAAACAGCGGTTGTTTAGCCTCCGGATGCAGTCAGGTACTTCCTTACGGGAACATCTAGAAAAACTTAACTCTATTTTGCTTGATTTACGTAATTTAGATGTTAAAATTGATGATGAGGATGCTGCGTTGATTTTACTTGTATCTCTACCGTCTAGCTTTGAGAATTTTGTAGAGTCTTTTGTTGTTGGTAAGGATTCTATAACCTTAGAAGAAGTGAAGGCAGCACTTCATACTAGGGAACTCAGAATGAAAGCTACGAGTGATAATGGGGATAATGGTAGTGGGTTGTTTGTTAAGTCCGGAAAGTCTAAAAAGAATAAGGGGTTTAACAAGGGGAACAATGCTGGGTCGGGTGCTGGAAACGGCAAGGATGGATCTAGTAAAACTACTACTAAAACATGTTATTACTGTAAAGAACCGGGTCACTTTAGGAATAATTGTCCGGTGAGGAAAAACAAGTCCCAGGCTGCTGTAGTTGAAGAGAAACCGAATGAGAGCTATAATTCAGAGGAAGATTTAGCATTAGTCAGTTCTGCTAGGTCTGATGATTTATCTGATAACTGGGTTCTAGATTCGGGGTGTTCGTTCCATATGTGTCCACGTCGAGATTGGTTTGATACATATGAACCTCGCAATGGGGGTATGGTTATAGTCGGTAACAATGCTCCATGTAAGGTCACAGGTATTGGTTCCATGAGGTTGAGGACTGTTGATGGGCGGAGGTTAACTTTGACTAATGTACGGCATGTTCCTGCTTTAGGAAAGAATCTGATTTCATTGGGTACCCTGGATGACTTGGGGTACAATGGTGTGTTTTCAGATGGGGAGTTGTGTATTTTCAGAGGTTCTGAGTTGGTACTTAAGGGTATCAAAAGGAACACCCTCTATGTTTTTGAGGGTGTTACACTGCCTAGTTCTGCGGTTTGCGCATCTGTATCTCACCAGGAGATGACTAAGATTTGGCACATGAGGCTTGGTCATATGGGGGAGAAGGGGATGCAGCTATTGTCCAAGAGGGGTCTTCTATCCGGGGTCAAGGTTGCCAACCTTGAATTTTGTGAGCATTGTGTGTTTGGTAAGAAACACAGGTCAAAGTTCAGCAAGGGTGCTCACATTACTGATGCAGTGCTCGATTACATCCATTCAGATTGCTGGGGTCCATCTAGAGTTGAAGGTATGGGAGGTTACCACTATTTTGTGTCATTTGTTGATGACAAGTCCCGATACACATGGCTTAGGTTGCTTAAGTCAAAGGATGAGGCCTTCAAAGTTTTCAAGCAATGGAAAGCTTTGGTGGAAAATCGACAAGGAAGGAAGATCAAGAAGCTACGAACGGACAATGGGCTAGAGTTTTGCAAAGACGAGTTTAATCAGTTCTGTGCAGATGAGGGTATAGGTCGGCATCATACTGTCAGGAAGACACCACAGCAGAACGGTGTAGCAGAACGGGTTAATCAGACACTGCTAGAGAGAGTCCGATGCATGCTCTCTAATGCAGGGCTTGGGAGGAGGTACTGGAGTGAAGCTGTGTTAACAGCTTGTTATGTCATTAATAGGGGTCCTCATTCTGGAATTGATTCCAAGATTCCGTTTGAGATCTGGAGTGGTAAGTTGCCTAATTTTTCGAATTTGAAGATTTTTGGTTGTGTTGCTTATTATCATGTTATTGAGGGTAAGCTGGATCCACGAGCCAAGAAGGGGTGTTTTGTTGGGTACGGGGATGGTGTGAAGGGGTTTAGAATTTTTTCACCTTCGGAGGGTCGGGTCATTCTTAGTAGGGATGTTACTTTCGATGAAAACACCATGTATTCAATTAAAAATGCAGAGATTTCAGATTTGAGAAGGGAAGGAGACAATTTATTACAGACAGATGGGGTACTTGAGGTACATCAGTCTACCATTGCTGATTTACCTCGGGTACAATATATTGATGATGATGCTGATGTTCCAGTGCCGGGTACTCCTGAACCTGAGATTACTCCTACTCATTCTAACTCTGGGGATGAGGTGGAGCAATCTAATCAGGGGTCATCTAGTCAACCTGACACCATTCTTGAGATGCCTAAACGAGTTATCAAGAAGCCTGTTAGATTGATTGAAGAGATGGAGGGAAGAAATTGCTGTGTTGATGCGATGACAGGTTATGCATTGAGTGTAGCTGATGATGTAGAGTCATTTGAACCTGCCACATATAAACAAGCAATTAGTTGTAGTGAGTCTGCGCAATGGCTTGCCGCAATGGGTGAAGAGATGCAGTCTCTTTACAAGAACAGAGTGTGGGAACTGGTAAAAGTACCGGAAGGGAGGAAGCTTGTGGGTTGTAAATGGATTTACAAGAAGAAAGAAGGGTTGTCGGAAACTGAGCAAATACGTTTTAAGGCTAGGCTAGTTGCTAAGGGGTTCAGTCAGGTAGAAGGGGTTGATTTTGTTGAGATATTCTCACCTGTGGTTCGACATACTTCTATCCGTGTGTTATTGTCAATTGTAGCACATTTTGATCTTGAGCTGGAGCAGTTGGATGTTAAAACGGCTTTCCTTCATGGCGATTTGGAGGAGGAGATTCTGATGAAGCAGCCCGAAGGATTCGAAGTTCCTGGAAAGGAACACTATGCCTGCAGATTGCTAAAGTCATTGTATGGACTTAAGCAATCCCCCCGACAGTGGTACAAAAGGTTTGATTCTTTTATGGTTTCACAAGGTTTTGACAGGAATTCATATGATTGCTGTGTGTATCATAGTAAGCTGGATAATGGTTCCATGATTTATCTTTTGTTATATGTTGATGACATGTTGGTTGCCACAAAGAATAAATCTGATATTGCTAGATTAAAGGAGATGCTTAACTCGGAGTTTGACATGAAAGACTTGGGTGCAGCTAGGAAGATTTTGGGTATGGAGATCTACAGGGATCGGGCTAGAGGTAAGCTTTTCTTGACTCAGAAAAGCTACATTGAAAAGATTCTGTCTCGTTTTGGGATGGAAAAATCGAAGCCTATAAGTACGCCAACTACTGTTAGTTGTAAGTTGTCTTTGTCTATGTCACCTCAATCAGAGGAGGAGTTGTCTTATATGTCTAGAGTTCCATATGCAAACGCGGTTGGTTGTTTGATGTATGCTATGGTCTGTACTAGGCCGGATATTGCGCATGCTGTTAGTGTTGTAAGCAGGTTTATGGCTCGACCTGGGAGGGAACACTGGCAAGGGGTGAAAAGGATTTTTCGCTACCTGAGAGGGACAGCTGATATTGGTCTTGTGTACGGGAATGGTAGGGAATGCTTGGTCACTGGGTACAGTGATTCTGATTATGCAGCTGATGTGGATACCAGGAGGTCTGTGACTGGTTATGTGTTCACTTTGGGTGGTTCTGTGGTTAGTTGGAAGTCTACATTGCAGTCATCAGTTACGTTGTCAACTACTGAAGCTGAGTATATGGCTCTAACTTCTGCAGCTAAGGAGTCTATTTGGCTCAAAGGCCTAGTAGGTGAACTGGGTATTGCACAGGATTTTGCTACAGTGTATTGTGATAGTCTAAGTGCGATTTGCTTAGCTAAAGATCAAGTACACCATGATCGGACGAAGCACATTGATGTCAGGTATCATTTCTTACGTACTGACAAGAGGATTAAGGTGAAGAAGATTGGGACTGCTGACAACCCGGCTGATTTCTTCACTAAGCCTGTTCCGTTTAGCAAGTTTAAACATTGCTTAGACTTGCTAAATATTGATTACTACGTGATGTAGTAGGCCCTGAGGGGCGAAGTTGGGGAGCTCCTGGTGTAGGTGTGTTGGCCTTAAGGTGGAGCTTGCCCGGGGCTTGTGATGCAGGTGGAGCATTATGAGTTGTTATACTTGGAGACGAGTATGTGATGGGTCTTGGTTGAAGACTTATCGGGATGTATGGCTTATGCATGAGTCCTGCATCGGGTTTGGCTTGAGATGTTTTTTCACTATGTCTTGATGGGGTCGTTTGCTGACTACGAGTTCTCGTCAAGGTGGAGATTGTTGATAAGTATTAGGTGACTCGTACTTCGTTGCTTTGTCCGCCCGATCGGGCGGACATTACCCGGTCTGACCGGGCGGAAGAAGAAGAGGTGCCTGGCAAATTCGTTGAAGAAGCTGCTCTCGCGCCCGACCGGGCGAGCCTTCGCCCGACCGGGCGAGCCTTCGCCCGATCGGGCAGACCTTGCCCGGTCTGACCGGGCGGTGGGGGTTGGATACGTTGAAGCATTCGTATGGAGTTTTCTTCTCGCGCCCGATCGGGCAGACCTTGCCCGGTCTGACCGGGCGGAGAAGGAAAAATACGGAACGCGGATTTTGCGGTTTTAGGTTATCTTATTTTATTATCTTTTTGCCCAAGTATCTTTTAATTAGGGATTAATATAAAACCTCCCTAATATCAGTATTAGGGTGAAGAGAGACAGAGTGAGAGCCGTTCTTGAGAAATACAAGAATCATCTTTGTAATCTTTGCAGTTTATAGTGAAATCATTCGATCTCGGTGCCCGTGGACGTAGCTATCACATCGATAGTGAACCACGTAAATTCTTGGTGTTGTTCTTATTGTTTGCATTGAATTTCTTTATTGTTTTCTTGTTTGTTTACGACCTTTGCTTCCGCTGTCGCACAACAGCTTTAATAGAGATGCTAGTGCCCACTTAACTATGTTGGTAGCACTATCAATTGCTGGCACAACTAGGTCTATTAAAATGGCTTTTATACCATCTCTTTGAATGTCATATGATGCTTTTGTATTGTCGTTGTTGTTCATCAATGACAACATTACATCTACCAGATCTCTATGAGTTCGTTGCTCCTTTTTTGCTTCATCTTCATGGTTGCAGATGATTTTCTCCAAGACATCATCCACAATCTTCATAAGTTTTTTGATGCGTCTTTTTAGCCCCTGATAATTCCATAATAGTTAATACACATAATGCCCCAAGTCGTGCTTGATTTATTTAAATTGTATAGGAAAACATGCATGGGCATCTACTTATTATAACATAAGTAATAATTAAAATATGATATGATTTATAATTAACATTATTTATATATATATATATATAAAAAAAAAAAAAAAAAAAAAAAAAAAAAAAAAAAAAAAAAAAAAACTCTACTATATCTAATGCATTAATTAATTGTTTCCGAATGTGTAACATTTCAATATAACAATTGTTGTGTTATCATAGTAGAATTATATTTGATCTTATTTAATATGCATTTTTTTTTAGTTTTGTCTTCTATTGTAGATGTAAGCTTTTGATTAAGTAAATTAGTTAACTTTATTTAGTTTAAAAAATATGAGGTGGATAAAATTTAACCATTTTCTTAGTTTAGAGACTATAACATGTATTTAAATTAACCAGTTAAACATTAAGTGCATCTAGTGTTTGACCCAACTACCAAGAACTTATCCATGAATTCGGATTAGCCCAAAGGATGAATCGGATAAGGAACCAAAAAAAGAAAAAAAAAAGAGACAATGCTTGAAACAAACCTGAGGATCAAATGGTGCAAGGAAAGGCAAAAAGTCAGCAATATTTAGGGTTCCTGACAGTCTCAAAGCCTCAAGGACAGTAGCTCTAAGAGCCAAATCATTCTTGGGAGCTCCATACAACATTCTATATATCAACTCCTCGAGGACACCACCAACACTAGCGCCAATATCTACGGCTTGATCAGCTGCCGAAGCAGCCTTCAATGAAGTCATTAGTTTACCTAATTCCTCCTCCCTCAACCATGCAAATGACTTAATTTTTGAAGCACTCATAAGCTCCATGACACATAATTTTCTTGCATTTTTCCAATATGAACTATATGGTGTGAAAATGATTCCCTTAGAATTATATGAAAGGTCATGAGAAACCTCGGACATAGGCCTCTTTGCACAAAGTACATCGTGATTCCTAAGAAGGCGCTCCGCCATTTGTGGCGAGGAGATCACAATGACGTGCTTGGAGCCAAGCTTTAAGTGCATGATAGGTCCATATTTTTTGGCTAAGTTTTGAAAGCTACGATGAGGGAGGCTCCCTACTAAGTGAAGATGTCCTATGATGGGTAATTTTGGTGGGCTAGGAGGTAATTTTGGTGTATTCAATGATTTTGATAAGGGCATAATCGTAATTTTTTTCTTCAGTAGTTGCATAAGTGATCTCCATGAAGCCATTAGGCCAAGGAGAAATGCAACGATGGTAATACCAAGGGACAACATTATTATTGTTGTTAAACTAACAAGAGTTTTTTTTTTAATTTTTTTTTTTTTTTTTTTATAGAGTGAATGAACCAGAGTATATAATAGAGAAGACCCCTACTAAGTGAAGAACTGAAGAATGTCCTATGCTGGACCAAGGTATATATAGTCAAAAAAATCTAGTACAACGCGTGATGAACTTTTGGTAAATAGATGGTATATAATATAATTTCAACACAAGTTATATAAAACAATGGTCCCAATATAAACACTAGATGCAATAAATGTTTTAAATAATTTAAACACTAGTTATATAATACAATGGTCCCAATATAAACACTAGATACATCAATTTGATAGATAAAAAGACCCCCTTCAAATAATAATACCCTTCAAATCGTACGGAAAACTAACCCATTGTGTCATTATTTATGTCTTCTTTGTTAGACTTACCCCAAGTGAAAAAGTAGAGTGTTGAAAAGTCTACAACGTTGTATAACTATCTAAGCATGTGCAAATTTTTATACGAGTAGAATTTGTAGTGGGGGACCTTATCAGTCCTTGACATATGAACAAGAAAACCTGTCGTTAACGAGATTGCTACATAAAAACCAATTATCAGTACAAGAGAGCGGGGGAGGGGTGAAGCATCCAACTCCGGAATGATATTTGTGGACGTTATTTGGACCTTATCTTTATATTATGATATACAAGTAATTCGAAAAGGAAGAAATATGGAGTAATAAGATTTTTTGTATTCGTAATATTAAAGCTTAATCATATTCTTAATTAATTAAGTAGTATTACATAACATTTTTTTATATACTTTACTACTACACTTTTATATTTTAATTAAAATTATAATGGTTGTATTTCATTCCCTTCCCTAAATATAAGGCTAAACTTAACAAACTTCTTTCAATAACAAAAAAAATAACAAAATAAAAAATAAAAAATTAACAAACTTTTTAGTGGGAAAATTTTTAATGATGTAATGTCAAGTGTACTTTAGGGATACTTATGAGGATTACTTTAGTATATAGTATATAATATAAATTTTATGCTCTCTCTCCTCCAATACTTTCCACTAGTTTTGCTTTTTACAATTTTGTATTATTTCATCTACCCCACTACCTCCATATTTTATTACTTTCTCCAATTTTTTCTAAAACTCCTCGCATGGAGAAATGAAGCAAGTATTTAAAAACGGAGGAAGTAAGGACTAAGGAGTGTTCAAGATAGGAATGTGTACATAAATGATAAATCTAATATTATATCACTAATATATAAAGTCGATTTTGTAGTCAGGTCACGAGACAATGACACTTGACATTCCAAGATTTCGCCAAGTGTCGTGCCATGTAGGCGAGAAATTGGTATTATTGTGACACATATGATGCTAAATAATCGAATTTCGGATAGATTTTTTAAAATAAAAATAAATGTTGTATCAAGTTTCATTATCGACACACTACTAATATTTCATATATATTATATTAATCATAACTTTTAATAAATATCATTTAACTCAGTTCTAATTCTATCACAAAATTCGTTTTAATAATTTCTTTAAAACATGATATTTTTTATAATATATTTAATTTATTTTAAAAATAAAAGAAAATTAGTAAAAATAAGTTTTAATCAGTTTAGTTTGGTAAAAATACTTTTAGTTTAGTAACAATAATTTTAAGTTCAATAAAAATAATTTCAAGTTAATAATAGCACATATATATCTATGTACAAACAAAACTACAAAAAAGTACAATATTATATAAATAAGTCATATGATGTCGTAGGTATAAATATTTTGCGTTATTAAAAGGGATTGTAGGATAGTATTGAATATTAAAGCCAAAAAGTTTATCCTAAAATTTTTATTAACAATCTGGGCATTGTCCGGACACAAAGCTAGTCATATCACTAATAAATAAAGCCGACCTCGTAGCCATGTCATGAGATAGCAACACTTGGCATTTTAGTTTTTTGCCAAGTGTTGTTCCATGTATAGGACAAATAGGTTTGTTCTGACACATATAATGCTAAATAATCGAATTTTGGATAGATTTTTTAAGATGAAAATATTGTATAAATATCCATTATCGATACACTTACTTATATAATATATATATACAAAATTAAACATAACTTTTAATAAATAACTCGGTTCTATTTCCATCCTAAAATTCGTTTTAAAAACTTCTTTAAAATAAGATCCATTTATAATATATGTAAAATAATAGAGAATTAGTAAAAATAAGTTTCATCGGTAAAAATACATTCAGTTTAATTAAAAATAATTTAAGTATGATATTGCATGTCTAAATATCATGCATTATCAAAAGTGAATATATTTGACCGTATATGACATTCAAGCCAAAAGGTTTATTCTAAAATTCAATAAATAAATGGGGCACGATACTAGTTTATGTATAAATGGGAGTTTATTTCGAGTTTTAGAGAGCCATGTAGGATAAAAAAATTTTACCGCGCCATATAGGATTACAAATTTTAGTGATAGCCAATCAAATAAGAGATTTTTAATTCATTTAGAATTAAATAATTCAAATGTCACATAAGCAAAATTGGCGAATGAGATTTTAAAGTTTATATTATTTTTATCTCGTGAAATTAGAAATTTTATCTAATCTTTCAAAAAAAAAAAAGAAATTTTATCTAAAAATATAACGAATGAGAGGAAATTCACAATTTATTTTAAAAATTAAAATATTAAATAATGGTATATTACGTAACACAAATAAAATAAAAAAAAGATTCTATCACATAATTATATTAGATTTGTTTTTAAAAAATACAAATAAATCGTACATCACACAGGCTTCATCTAGTATAATATTGTAAGAATACTATATATCATACAATGAATTATTTATTATGTAATACTAGGAGTCTAGTTTAAGAAATAGAATGAATATAAACATATTATTGTGATATTATATTATGATAATATTTTGGAGAAGATCTTGTGAAAAGATTAAATGTGAGCTATTGTGATATATTTTGATTGTTAAAATATTTAGGAATATTAGGGTTAGATAATTCTATACTCTATACTTTGCAATGTGGCTAAATATTTTGAATGGGAAAAATACGAAGAAAAATATTTTTCAAAAATTTTACATGGTACCAAAAGCCTAGGGTGATGAAAAACATTGAGAGTTTATGTGGGAGAATGAGAGAACCTTCAATAGTTAAACACAAAGGTTCATGTGGGAGGAGCAAATGAAAAAGAAAAAAAAACTTAATTATGAGAGTTTATGTGGGAGAATAAGAGAACCTTAAACACGAAAGTTTACATGGGAGTAGCAAATGAAAAAGGAAAAAAAAAAACCTTAATTACGAGAGTTCATGCAAGATGAGATGATGAAAAACACGAGAATTCGTGTGATAGAATGTGATAAACTTTAAACACTGGAGATCGTGTGAGAGAGGAGAAGGAAAAAAATATGATGGGTTTAAAAGAAAAGGTGTTCTCATTGTATTGGTATATTTGCAAGTTCAAAAAGAATTGAAAATTTCATAGTACACCCGACCCGGTTAAAATTAATGCTTTACTTTGATATATCATCTGTGGGGAATAATTTCAAGCGTTAACCCCTAGCTTGAACCCCACTGTGATCATACACTAAAGTACGGTGGCGTCCAAAAGGGAAGAAGATAGAGCAAAAGAGTCGCCAACAAGTTTTAGGAACTTGTAAACCGTTCACAGGGTGAAGGTTACACTCCTTAACGATCCAAGAGATCGTCAACTCCATAAGGTCTAGAACCAAATAAGGGTTCGGGGATGAAGGTACAAATCCAACCTAAAAGAGGATGAACCTGCCCTAATAATAGGCCTCTACTTTATTCTGATCGTATTCATGTGCGCTTTTTAATTAACATGCAATCAATAGGATTAACCCAAATCTGTTTATCTATGTTGGTTGAATAATAATGCACAAATAAATTATTATTGGCGATCACTTGAATTATAATCATATTAACCCTAACAAGATTATTAATTATCTCATTAAGCGTGATTACAAGTACCAAATTCCCTTTAGACATGCATAAAAGGTGTGATCAAGCAATAACAATAAATATCATCAAGCAACATAATAATAATAAATATCATGATAATAAAATTATAATCATCGCAACTATAATCATCATAATAATAATTATAATAATAATCATAAATAAAATAATCATCATAAATTATAACAATTATCATCATGTTAATATTAAAGCATAATAATAGCAAGATACTAGGCATGATACTAACAAGATTAATAACAAACCCTAGCATGTCACCAAGCATCGTAACAATCATATTTAATATTAAAATACCCTAGACATGATACTAGGAATATCATAATAACAATTTAAACATGATTTCTACATCATAATATCAACAAATCAATTAAAGTATTTACTTTGATGCCTCGTACCTCTTTCTAATAACAAAATACACACATTAGTAACTTCAAGGAAATAATAATCAAAACAATTAAATTAAATAATTGAAATAGAGATTTGGGACCAAACCCTTAGAAATTAAACCTTTCACGTCTAGGGCGAAGGCAACTTCGAATATGGCTAGGTGTTTCTAGATCTTGTGAATGCGGAATTTTGTATATGAAAAGCAAAGTTTAGAAAAAGAGAGAGAGAGATGGTGAATGTTGAGAGAATCGATGAATGAAAACTGGTTGTAGGTGAATATTAATTAAAACTGATTGTTGATGAATGTTGATGAGAATTCGTGAATGAAAACGGAGTTTTTAATACGCTATTTATAGAGAAAATCAGCCAAAAAGATAAATATCAAAACAGAGTCTGACGCATAAAAAACAGAGCTGGCGCAAACCCTGGCTAACTGGCGCCAGGCACCAACACTAGCGCTAGGCGCCAATGGCTAGCGCCAGGCCTGGTTCCAGGCGCCACTGCCTGGAGTCAGGCGCCAAGCCTGGTTTTAACGCGTTTTCGAAAATCAGATAAGTTTGCCGTACTGGAGGATAAAATCATATAATTTCCTCGAAAATGCTATTTGATTTTAATTAAAACTCTGAAAAGTCAACAAAAGTCAATTTATCAATGCTAATTGAATTAGGAATAAAAAGAACCTTCTAGAAGAATCTAGAAGACTAAAACCATTCCTAATTGCATTAGGAATGATAAATCATATTAGACCCTCTCCTAGATCATTGGGTCGCATATAAAGCTCAAACCGAACCCAGTTTAGTAAATTGGCCATAACTTCCTCAATATTCATCGGAATTGGGCTTATAATATATCGTTGGAAAGCTCTTTTCAAGCCCCATTCAACTACACTACTATTGGACCCATATCATGGACCAACCAAACTGGATTGACTGTTTTCTTAAAATAAGTTTTCAAAAACAGAGAGAAGAGAAAAGAAATTAAAACTATCCGCAACACTAGATTTATCACACTTTCGCTTCATTCGATTATGATTCGACGTGAAAGGTACTCATCACTGGGTTTGGTTTTGGGGAGACACAAATGGGTGTCTACATCATCATAATTTAAAAAAAAAGTTT